GGAGCCCACTCTGAGGCTGCTGCCTCCCAAGCCACAGGGTGAAAGATGCCTTTATGGGCCAGGATGAGATTTTTATCTTGGTGGTTTCTCTTTAAATTCTTTACGATTACGAAGCAGCGGGGGCTGCCAAGGAACATGATTTACTCCTTGAGCATGCACCAGCTCCTCACTCCGTGCCAAGAGAAGCTGGAGCCAGGGAGGGAGGGGCAGGCGTTGTGCCAGGCACCCAGAGACAAGGCCTGTGCTGCGGAGGCCCAGCCAGCGGCAGTCCCATCTGAAGCTTGGCGGGACCTGGAAGGACCACAGCTGAGGCCCTTGGCCCTGGCCTGGCTGACCCCAGCAGGGCTTTGGGCAGGTTCTCGGCAAGCACAAGGACCTGGCCCGCTCTCTCTAACGGTGATCCGTGGCCAGCTGAGGGGTGGCCAACCGGCCCCCCAGGACCTCCCAACTCCCCAAGTGGCCACTTTGAAGGTCCATCTCAGGAGAGGGAGTAGCTCCCATTTCCAGGAAAACTGAGGTCCCAGATGCAGGGATCTGGGCTCAAGTTCATGCTTTGGGTCTTCCTTCCTCCCTTGTCTGGCTCATCCTGGAATACTTAGCCCTCCCCAGTTTGTGATCGCCAAGTTTCACTGTAATTGTCAACGCCACCTACCCAGCTTTCTGATGCCACCCCTGGCTTCCAAGCTCCTTCTCACCCCTCCCTTTCAATCTCAAGCTCTAAGCTTGCCTGGCCGACCAGGGAGCCCCTAGGGGGCAAGGAAGGGTCCCTAAAGCTCCCCAGGCCTGCCCCCACCCCTGCGCAGTCAAGGCAGCTAAGATGAGGCTTGATAGAGGCACTTCCACTTCAGTCCTATACTCACTCTCCCTTGGGTGAAGTAAACGGACTGTGACCCTTCCTAACCTCCAATCTCCTCATTTCCTAATAAGGAGGCCTGGCGACTCTCGCTCGGCCACACACAAATGATGTAAGTGGTGGCACTGTTCTGGGCCATTACCTCCAAAGACTCGAGGCTAGGCTGACGTAGGCTGGGGGCTGGTGACCAGCACCCACCTGTTCACCCGCCACCTACAGCATGTCCCTCCCACCGGGCAAGCCAGATACGCCCAGTCTGAGAAGGCTGAACCCCAGGGCTGTTCTGGACATCAGAGCTCTATCCTCTCCTGGACTCTGCTTTTCCTTCTCTGAAGGGAGACAGCTTCCCAGGGGACTCTGATCAGTGGAGGGGCTGGGGTGATGGACAACTGGATTTATAGGAAAGGAGCAAGCCCAGATGCTGTTTCTCCAGGGGGAGAGAGCACAGGAAGCCTGCCCAGGGCGAACCCAGCGCTTTCCTTGGGAAGTAAGCCTGGACAGGCTACGGGCGGCACCGCAGGGTCCTCGAGGCTTAGCCCGAGCTCATGGGAGAGGGCTGGGCCTGCCTCCCCAACCTGCCCCCCAGCCTCAGTCTTGGCACAGGCTCGGACATCAGGCGGAGCACGTTCCATCTGAGTCTGGCCCCTGAGTTACCCGGGAAAGCCTCTGGGTCTGATTCCTCACAGGAAACCCAGGCAGCCCTCCTCCCTAGGCCTTGGTGGGACTCCTGTTGGTTATCATCACGGGTACCTACTGTTATTTCTATTATTTTCATCTTTCCTGACCTCCCCTGGCAAGGTGACCTTCCATTCCATCTCCCGACTCCTGCCTCAGTTTCTCAGTAGCCCGGCTAACTCATGTCATCACAAGACCCCTTTCCCTCTCCAAATACCTCTTGACCTCAAGTCCTGGCCAAAGCCAGCCCAGGCAGGAGCTGTGTCTTGTGGGGGTGGCTTCCTGGGAAAAAGTAAACATTCCCTACGCTGAACAAAGGAGCTGGCAGGGCCTTCACACCTCCCTCTGCAGTGGGAGGTGGTACCCCAGGGCTTGGACGGTCTCAGGGTGGGGGAAGGAGGGTATTTTTTCCTCCCAGACCTGACCAGTGACTCTGGGGTTAAGAGGACTCCAGGCCCAGGCAAGGATGGATGGAAGAAAGAAGGTCCTGCTGGCCAGGTCACTAGTTCTAAGCATCCATGAGCACTCAAAGAATGCTTCTCCTGCTCCTGACAACCTCCCCACTTGACCCTCATTTCCGCATGACCTTGGCTGTGCTGCTGATGGAACAGGACAGGAGATGGGCCACAGGAGTCCTCCTGCTCCAACTGGGCCCCTTCTCCTTACACCCTCTCCAGGCTTTCGGTCTGGCTGGGGCGCCCAGGCTGATGGGCAGGCAGCAAGCCCAAGCCTGGCCCAGTTCCTGCCTTTGTTCCTTTATCTGCCCTGGGCAGCATGGCCCCCCCAACCCTCACACCAGCACCTCTGGTTTATTAGAGGGTCTGGGCTGACTGGGCTGGAACTAGCACCTCCCAACTGTCCAAGGAGGGGAGGGGATGTGCCTAGGCCAAATTCCTGAAGCCTGGTAGGCCAGCTGCTTTCATCCATTCACAGATGGAGAAGTTGAAGCATGGAGCCGCCACGACCATCAGGGCTCCTAACAGCAGCCCCCTCTGTGCCCCTTGGGTATATGCAGCAGGAGGGAGTCCCCCCAGCCTTAGACACATCCAGGCCAGGACCCCCAGGCTCCGTAGATGTCAGTCTCCATTCTCACTCCACAAATGCTCAGTGAGGGACTACCCCTCATGGAGGGCCGCACCATAGGTATGTCCTGGCTGAGACCATCCAACATGAAGGGGGAGAAGGGGGCCTGGGGCCTAGTGCACAATAAGTGCTGGGCTCCCAGGAAGCATGGGCCAACTGGGTGTCCACTATCTTTTCAGCCACTTTGTCTGGGAGCGCCCCATCCTGTTCACTGCACAGGGCCTGGCTCATGGCAGGGACTCAAGTATCCACTAAACTAAGTGGCATCCACGCGTAAAAGTAGGACAGGAGCTCAAGTGGGAGACGGAAAGGTCATTCAGGACAGAGAACCTGTGTGCGGAGGCACAGAGGCCCAGGGACGGGGTGGCCCCAGGCGGCCTCCAGCCCTGCCCCAGGCGGCCACGGCAGTCAGCGCCGCAGGCTGGCTGCCAGCGAGCTGGGCTTTTAGTCGGTGCAGGTGTCGGCTTCAGAGCTAATTGAGAGGGAATCGACCTGCCGATATGAGCGTCCGGCGTCGGCAAGACCAGGACAGCAGGACACCAGGGTTCTATTTCTGGCCTTGCCTCTGCCTCTTGCCTGACCTTGGCCCTACCCTCGCCTGAGCCTCAGTTTCTCTCTCTGGAAAACAGGAACAAAATCTTTTGTCCCTTTGCCCCTGCAGGTCCAAGAAGGTTTAAAAGGAGTGTCTAAAGACCCTCCCTCTGTCTCGTTCCTCCTACTTCCTCTCATGGGTCTCCAAGATGATGACAAATACCCAGAGTGGATGTCTGGGCTCCAGGATTCCAGGGGTCTGGAAAACCAAGTCATCCTCCTAGCCCCTGTTGGTGAGGGTGCTCTATTCTCCCTGCCAGCACCCTGGGTTGGGAAGGGGGTGAGAGGGGGATGTGACCCCTTCAATATTTATTAATATGTTCTGAGAACTTCCACCAGGGAATGGTAGCAGTATCAGCATAAATATCTCACCTTCCCAGGCCTGGGAAAGGGGTTGTTTTTGACAACCCAAAGCGATTAACTCTTCTGCTCATTTCTCAGGCCCTGCGCAGGACTCCTCCCAGGAGCACTGTCAGAAATTCATGCCCCACTCCCCCCCTCAAGTTGCAGGAGTGATATGGGGCCAAGAGAGGGGTTCTTCTAGGGGACATGGGAACGTGGTGAGAAGGAGCTGGGCCTCATCAAGCCTGAGGAAGGAAAGGCTGGCCCAACTTCTCACCCTAGTAAGTGTACCTGGAAATCTGGTCAGCCTGGGCTGAGTTGGCCCCACCCAGGACAGGCAGCTGAATAAAGTCACTCTGGGTCAGAGGAGGGCCAAGGCTGAAAACTCAGCAGTGACCCCAGATCCCCCAGGCATAGTCGCTGTCTCTTTCCTCAGGCCAAGGGTAGACTCTTTAGATCACGTCTTTGAGTTAGTGGCTAGTGAGTGAGCCACTGGTATGTCTGAGGATGTGGGCCACATGCATTCACCTGCCTGGCTGGTTAGCTGCAAAGGTGATGGAGCTAGACCAGTGTCTTACTCTGTACACCCCAACTCATCATTAAAACCTTCCACTGTGTGTGTGCATGCTGAGTGGCTTCAGTCGTGTCCGACTCTTTGAGACCCTATGGACTGTAGCCCACCATGCTCCTTGGTCCATGGGATTCTTCAGGCAAGAAAACTGGAGTGGGTTGCCATGCCCTCCTCCAGGGGATCTTCCCAACCCACGGATCAAACTCACACCTCCTGCGGTTCCTGCATTGCAGGCAGATTCTTTACGGCTGAGCTACCAGGGAAGCCCAAAAACCTTACGGTGATTTCAGGCAAAATGCTCACTGGGGATCTCAGGACCGTCACAACAGCACGTGTTCTCCCTGAACTCACCAGGGGCCCTAGACTCCTCCAGTCACAGCACAAGAGCCCCCTCCCCAATTCCTAGGAGCCCCTCCCACCTGGAGACCCCTAGGATGGTTCCTCAAGCACCCACACCCCAGAGGAGCAGGTCCTGCTCCTCTAGCTTTTGGAGGCCTCAGTGTCTGTCCGATTGTCTGATCAGGCAAGGGCAGGAGCAGTGGCAGGGAAGGGCTTCTGCAAGCACAAGCCTGAAAGATGGGATACCTCTGTCTCCCCCAGTTATCACATGGACAGACACCCTGCAGACTCGAGCCCAGAGACCATACGTTCTGGCTCTAGAAGCAGCCCAGACTCAGGACCCTTCTCTAAATGTCTAAGTAGTCCAGTCTCTAGCTTTTCCCAGCAAGTCACCACCTCCCCCAACCCCTACAACACACCCAGTGTGAGCCGTGTGGCTGTACAATTTGTTCTTTCTTGCTCTGACCTCTCCTCTCTCTCCTGTGCAACAGGACAAAATGCTCTGGACAGAGGGGGATGCCGGGGAACTGCAAGGGAGCCTCTTACCTTTATATGAGAGCCGGACCCGGGGCGTGGCTGGGAGGTAGTCCTGGCTGGGGGCGGCTGGCCAGGCCCCAGTGAGCAGCGAAGCCCAGAGGAGGAGACCAGCGACAGGCATTGTGGAAGGGGCCTAGGGCCCAGGGGTCAGGCAGCCGTCTATACACCTGGGAGGAGGAACAAGATTGAAACACATGAGGCAGAGCAAGGTTTCCTGTCTGACCAACATTTTCTTGTGTAATTCTGCCAAAGGTACCTCAGTTTCCCTATCTGAACACCTAGGGTGATGGGTACCTCTGTGCTCACACCCTCAGCCTGGGGCCATGAATACCGTAACATGAAAGTCTCATATACTTTCCTGTCCCTAACAATGGCTCTGAAGACCAAGCAACTGGGTGCTGCCTAGGGTCAATAGGGCTGACAGGGGCCAGTAGACACTCAAACCCTTCCCCAACCACAGCTTCCAGACTTCCGTTCACAGGGCTCAGCTCAAGGAGGTGATCTTACATCCTTCCCCAGTTTCCACGCACCCACCCCCCAACCAAACGGGCTGTTCCTTCCTCTCCCACTTCAGGGAATGGGGGAAGAGATGGGTCCAGTCCTGCAGGTTCTAGCCAAATCTCTCCTCTCAGTAAAGGGAAACCTGAACCTGATGATTAGAGTTGGGAGCAGGAGAGGGCGGAGGATGCGTGAGAAACACATAGATGGCCTAGAGAGAGAAACAGCAGCCAGAATAGGAAAGGCAAAGAACAGCAGGGTCTACTTCCATTGAAATCACAGCAGGAGGGATCCGGGTCAGACATACAGAAGGACTTCCTGCCAGCAACATTTCCAGCTCTGCCTACAGAGACCAAAGAAGGGGAGCAAAGGTGGCCAGCAGGCCAGGGGCAGGGTCTGAGCCAGCCTCAGTATCCCCAGCAGAGCTCTGATACAGACCCCCAGCAGGCCCGAGTTTCCACACAATGTTTTTCAAATATTGTCTCCCCAGGCAGGCTGGCTGTTGGGTAAACGCAGCCCAGCACCAGTTGTCAGAACATATTGCTCCCTCCCGGCGAAAATCAGCGCCAACTTCCCAGCAACCCCCCACCCAGATGCACTGTGGGTGGGGGCAACAATGACAATGTGAGCCCCACCCCCCAGAACTGCCAGGTCTATTTTCCTTCTCCCATGGGAGACAGGGACTCTAGGCCCATTTCTAGGACCCTGGGGTGGGGAGGGGTATTGTGATGTTAATCCCCTGCCCTGGCTGGCATCCACCGAGGCAAGGCTCCACATCAGACTGTCCAGTCCCCATCGACAGACCCCGATGTCCTCCTGGGACCCCCCGCCCCTGAGCCCTGGCCTCTGCTGCCAGGCAAACCACTGGCGACTCCTTGGACAGGAAGTGCAGCTTCAAGCAGCCTGACCCATTCCCCATGTGGTGCTCTCTATGGGCACACCCTCTCCGGGGTGCCTGCGGTACCTCTCAGGTTCCATCAAAACCTCCCATCACAGATGCTAGGGGGGCTGGCTGAGGGAGGGGAGAATCAGAACCAGCCCCGCCCCCTGTCCTCTGGGGCACAAAGCGGGCGCAGACTGAATGGCAGGCCCTGATGGGGGGGCGTGTGTGTGGGAGAAGGCTGCTACCGGCACTCTCAGGTGCACCTGGGAGGCCCCCTCCAGCAGTTGTGGAGATACACACGTCCAAACTTACATGCCTGCACTAGTCCTTACAAGCATATATATATATATGTTTGTTCAAGAACTCGACCTGCTAGTGGGGTGGGGCTCGAGGAAGTGGGGAGATGCTGTTCTAGCTCTCTCGGGGAGGGCTGGATGCAGGCTGAGTCCCTTGGAGAGCTTTGATCCTAGGTATCAAGGGGCTGGGGTGACTCGCCTCCCCTCCTCCCTGTGACCTCATTTCTCCTACATCCATTTTCATGGTGACAAGGTCAGGGTCACCAAGGACAGTGTTGGAGTCCCCCCAAGGAGTCCAGGAACCTGGAGGGCTCTGCTTCACTGGGCCCCTACAGGGACCTCCCACAATGCTTTGGCCTTTTAAAGGGGTGAATGGCGGATGTTCAAAACTGTTGGGGCCACGGACCCAAGTCTAGGCCCCCTCTTTGGCAGCTTGGGGGATGGAGGAGAGGAGGAGAAGGAAGGAGGAGGAGGAAGAGGAGGACAGAGATAGGGATGGGGAAGGCATTGCCATAGTTGCTTCTCCTCTGCCAGCCCCTGGATGCATTCCACTCAGCCCCAGTCCCAGAGCAGCCCCCAGCTGGGTCCAGCCCAGGTGGGTGGACAGAGAAGGAACAGCCACCGCCACCTGGGAGCCCACCAGGAGGAGAGCAGAGAAGGAAGGAAAGAAGGCTGGCGGGAGGGAGCAAAGGAGGGAGGCAGGCGGGAGGGAGGAGGAGAGAGGGAGGAGAGAGGGAGGGACGGAGGAGAGACGTTCGAACAAAGAACCGAGGAGCTGGGGCTGGCAAGGGGTACAGGGAAGGGGCGGCCAGACGAAGGGGTCTGGAGGCACCTGGGGGCGGAGCAGGGGGCTAGGAGGTCAAATTGTCCAGCCAGATCCAGACTTCTTGGGATTGGAGGAGGGGGGCGGGTAGGGGGGTGGACAGCCTGCCTCGGGGAAGGAAGGTTGGCTCCTGCGAGCTGAGAACTGGATGGAAAGGCTGCGGGGGGGACATGATGGAAAAATTGTTAACAGCACCCCACCCCCCATCTAGCTCCTCCGACACCCCCCTCCATCAGGCCAGAGCTCCTTCCTGACTCCTTGGCCTCCCCCTCCCCCAACACCCTATGGACCAGGAAGCAGAGACACCCCAGCACAGCTGGTGTTGAAAACCCCTCTTTCGTGGTCAGTTTCCCAGTCAAGGTCACCTGGGCTTGGCTCCATCTTCCCCCTGAAGGTGTGCCTAGAGCAGCAGGGGGCTGAGGCTGGGTTCCCTCCTCTCCCCAACCCCCGCACTTCCGGGCCTGGCTCCTTCAGAACTGAGGGGCAGCATGGGGGGGGGGGGGAGGCATGCCCAGTGTCCTCACCTTCCAGGACACCTTACCCCAAGGGTCCAGGCACACTCCCTGTGCAGCCTGGGAAAAGGCTCCATCTCCATCCAACCCCCTGGACTGGCATGAGCCTACCAACCTCTGGGTGCAGTTTCTCTATCTCTGCAATTAGAACAGAGGCTTCTGGGAGACAATCTGGATGAATTGAGGAGGACAAGAACCCTGAATCTCCAGAGCTGACACATTAGCTTCAGATTCACACCCCACCTCCCCCAGGTGTTCATGGGCTGGTGTTCCTAACACAGTTATCTCAAGAATCAGAAGTTATTTATCCAGGCAGGCCTGCAGTCCTAGCTCCAGCTGAGCCCTCCTGGGCCACCTTGACATTCTCTGGTCCCACCTGCTCTAGGCAAGTCCACCAAGCTCCTACTGTCCCCTGCCCACTCCACCACTTGGGCCCCAGCCTGGCCAGATTTGGGGAACTTGACTGCAGGCTCTCCCAGCTTGCTCACTACCCACATACAGCAGGGCCCCTAATCCAAGCAAAACGGCCTGCTGGAAGGCAGACTCGGACCAGCAGCTGGGGGTCAGGGGGCTGGCACAGGGCTGGGAGAAAAGCCTTGGGGCTGGCTGTCCTGCCCAGGCTGATCTTGGAGACCCTCCACGAGGGGGCTGCCAGGGTAGCGCTTCCCTTCCAGCGGACGATCCCCAGATTCCGACACTGAGGCAGGGCAGGGGTACCTACCAAGGAAGAGAGCTGCCTGAGGCGTTAGTGGGAGAGCTCAGCTAGGGGATGGGGCATCAGGCCTCCAGTTACAGCAACAAGGAGGCGTATGGGAGCACCCACCCACCCAGAACCTTTCGGAGAAAAAGTTGCTCTGCACACTGGTGACCCCGCAGGCCACATCCTTCACACATCTCCACGTCGCTTCGATGTTGAGGGTCCGGGCAGCCCGGACAGGTACAGCGCCCACTCTAGTCCTGTCGTCTTCGCGTCCGCGGGAAGCCCCCTGCCTCTCCGAGCCCCGCGCCCCAGACACTTCCGCAGAGTTGCAGTGCCGCGGGTCCCAGAGGGATCGCGGGGTGGCCCGGCCGCCTGCCCGCTCCCTCCCGGTTCCCGCCGCACTCACCTCTTCCACGGCGGCGGGGCCTGGGCTCCCGAGTGGCGGCGGCGGCGGCGGCAGCAGAGCGGCTCCCGGTTGGGCCGGTCCGCGCTAGCGGCCCCCCGGGGCCATGGCCCTGCCCGCGCCCTCTCGCCGCTGTGCCTGAGCCGGGGTCGGCGCCGCGGCCCCGGCTTAACGGGGTCTGCTGGCTTCGGGCGCGTCAGCAGTCGAGGCCCCGGACCCCATCCCGGGCCATGGGAAGGCTCAGGGGCGCTCGGGGCCGCCTCCCCCCGGGTGGGCTGCGGGCGCCCCCTGGCCGGCGCGCCGAGGGCGCATTCCCCGGCGCGGGGCGCGGGCGACAGCGCGCGCTCGGCTTCGGGTCGCTGCGCTCGGCTTGGCCCACAGGCACTGTGCTCGCCTGGTCTCTGGACTGGGGCCGGGCGGCTGCGCTGGGTTGCGCTCGGGGCTCACCGGGCCGCGGCCGTTCGCTCGCTGGCTCGCTCGCTCTGCTCTCGCGGCCGCCGGCGGGACGGGGCGCTCGGAGCCGCGCGGGGAGCGCCGGCAATTGGCCGCCCGTGGGCGACATTTGCATAGCGCGGCCCCGCCCCGCCCGCCCCGCCCGGCCCCACCCCCAGGGCGGGACCCGCCCGGCCGCCGTCCCGCCCCCGCTCCACCTGTCCGCGGGGTGGGCTCGGTGCTCCCAGGCGGTGGGGCAGCCCGCGCCCGGTAAGGCTAACCTGCACCCCGCGCCCCCGCCCTGGCTTCGCGGGCGGCGCCCCCGCCCCGCCCCGGCTTTGTCTCTCCGTGGATACACCGCGCACACCGCGCCTGGTGTTTACCAGGGCACTCAACTCCCTGGCGGGAAGGGCAGGCGCGCCAGAGAGCAAGAGGCTGCGCTCACCTGCGCACCCCCTGCCGTGTCCGTCCTTCCCACTCGCTGCCCGCCACGCCTGGCCTCGCGTGAGCCCCGCAGCTCAGGACCCAGGACTGCCCAGGCCGCTCAGCAGGTGGCAGTGCAGCCCCTGGGACGGCTGACACTGCTGGACCTGTCCTCCGCCTCCAGCCCAGGCCAGGTCAGCCTTACAGCTCCATCCAACAGCTCTAGGGCTCCCTGCGATCTCCCCAGCAGCCAGCCCTATATCAAGCAAGTAGCCCCACGGACCCACCCCTTATATTTCCACATCCCAGAGAAGCCAGATAGGGGTTCCTGAAAGGACATTTGCTTTCAAATGGATTCCTGATGACCTGAGGGCTCTGCAACTGAGCTGCGGTCCACCTTGACCGCAGGAAGGGAACTTCCACCCAACCTAATGCAATGGCCAAGGCCATGGCCTCACCAGCCAGGACCACAGTCTCAGCCCTGCCCCATGCACTTTGCCAAGGTCCCAGCGGGCATGGGCCTCTTTGTCCTATCCCTCCTCCCTCTTCTCCTATTCCCTCCCCTTTCTCCTCTTTTCTGTTCTTTCTTTTCCCCTCCGTTTCCCCCTCCTTGTGTGTGTTTAGTCCTGTCCCACTCTTTGTGACCCCATAGACTGTAGCCCATAGCCCACCAGGTTCCTCTGTCCATGAGATTCTCCAGGCAAGAATACTGGAGTAGGTTGCCTTTCCCTTCTCCAGGGGATCTTCCTGACCCAGGGATAGAACCCAGGTCTCCCGCATTGCAGGCAGATTCTTCACCATCTGAGCCACCAGGGAAGCCGTTTTCCCCTCCTTCCTCTCACCCTATTTTTCCTTGTCTGCTTCCTCCTCACTCTCTTTGCCTTTCTCTCTTCCTCCTCTGCCTTCTCTTCCTGGCTAACCCCCTACCCAAGACATCTCTCACTCTGACCTATTGGCTGGTTGACTGCGAATGTAGGTGGCTAGGGACGTTAGGGATCCTGCTGAGAGTCTCCTGACTCGGACTTAGACTTGGAGTGCTGGCTCACATGCTCCAAGCAGAGGCTGGCCACTGGATGTGAGCAAATACCAGCCTGCAGATGCAGTGGCTGCAGTGACAGCGCCTGTGCATCTCTCGCCGTCATGCCTCATTTGAAAACACTGTGTCAATCATTCCTCCTCATTTCCCCCTTCTCGGTACGAGGGTCACCCTCGAGGTCACTGCCACTACACCATTACCACTGCAGCCTATGCCACCATCACTGCTGAGCGTTTCCAAAGCCATCACCTCCACCACCCTCCCCGAGCTCTCTGGCCACCTCTGTCACCACCACCAGCATGATCATTATCCCCGTCATTAAAGAACTGTGGGGACTGGGCAAAAACGACTCCAGGATACTGGGTTGGGAAGGAAAGAGACTCGGCTGATTTATCCATGGAGCACCTCTCCAACACAGACACAGGCCTCTCAGCACATGGAGGCCTTTGGTGGCAGTGGGGTGGGAGGAAGGGGACAGTGGAAAAAAAGGGAGTTAGAGCTGGGCTTGGCTACACATAGAGGAATGATGCCAGTTCCCTTGTAATCATTGTGAGAAGGTTGAATAATCAATAGAAATCAAAACAATTATAGTTGCAGCAGTGAATCCACACTGCGCCCTGTCCTGTTGTGTGTCAGGCTGGGATGAGCACTTTGTATCACTATATATGTTATTTTATATATAATATATATTATTGGGAGGAACATCGTAGCCTGCAGTCATTTTGTCTCCAATTTCAGGGGTCAAAGACCCCTTGAAACCAGCCTGATGCCCGACCAGGAGGCCCTGCATGCCATTCACAATCCCACTGAGAAGCAAGTCCTGCAGTCCCCATTGCAGTCCCCAGCTGAGGAAGAGGAGACTGGGAGAAGTGGAGTGAGGCCTGTAGCCACCAGCTGTTGTATGGGAAAGGCGGCATTTTCCGGAGCTATGGGAAGGCTCCAGGAGGGAAGGGCCAGGCCACGTGGCCCACATGGAGCCAGGGGCCTGCAGACCAGTGCTGGGGTCGGGGGGGGGGGGGGGCGGCTGGCAATGAGTGCTAGAGCCACACGTGGCACTTAGGGAGTTCAATAAATCTTTATTGAATGAATAAGAGGGCAAATCCCTGTAACACCAGATCCAAGAGGGAACATGAGCCAAGAGGCCAGGAGCCAACTCCCTGTCTGCTACCCAGCTCCCCTGGACTGGCTGCCCCCACCCAACACTCTCACCGCCACCCCGAGTCCTTCTTCTGTCTCAGTGCCACTCAGCTGTGCCAGCTCCACCTGAGAGCCACCCAGGATGCCCCGTGGGGCCACCTGAACAGAGGCCAGGCCAGACTGACCCCTGCCTGACCTCTGTCCCTCCTTCCTCAGACCCCAGGCATGTTCAGTCCCCATGGCCCACGCTAGGGCCAGTCTGGACTTGCAAGGTGGTAGGAAGTTCAGAGATGGTTAAGCCAGGTCTGGTTCCCCACCTTGACCAAGCCTCTGGGGTTCCCATCCTGGAGCAGCGCCCTCTCCCTTCCTACATGAGGACAGGCCCTTGGGGTGACATCCTGGCTGTTCAGCCTTGGGCTCAGCTTCCCAGAGCTCCTGAGGTTCTGCAGAGCCTGATAGTGAGGGCTACAAGTGGGAAAGAATTGGCCCCCTTTGTCCCAGTCGCCACCCACGGGGACCGTGCTGGTAACAGGCAGGAGAGCTTTGAAGGTCTCCCCCCAGACACCCCCAGCCTTTGCCTGGCCCAGACTTTGTTTCTGGCAGTGCTCATTCCTGTTTGGTTTCCTTCTTGCTCTTCCAGGCTGTGCTGTCGGGGGCTGAAGTGCAGCCCTGGGCCTCCTGCTGCCTGTCTAACCTCTGTCTGCACTATTTGCCTCTATCTGGCCTCCACTGTGGGTAAACTTGAGAGAAAACCTGTCCTCTTGGTCTCTGCATCTGGAAGGCTGGACAAGGCAGGCCTGGGCCTCAGGGACCGGCCATACCCCCTCCACGAAGGTGGCCCACTAAACCAGCACTCTCTCCTCTGGCTGGGTCTCCGGGGAACCTGTTTCCCGGGCCTAGCCGGCTGAGCAAGCCTTGGCCCGCCCAGCCCTAGCGTTGCTGGCTCAGGTTTCCCCACTTTCTGGTTTTCTCATCTCCTCTGCCCCAGGCGTTGCCTGCTTTCTGGCCCAGCCCCCACCCGCCCGGAACTGGATCCCAGAGAGGGGGAGTAATGGAAAGGGGGCCCCCAGGAGGGGGTGCAAGGCCGTGCTTGCTGCACCAGGAGGGGGGCAGGCGGTGAGGAGTCACCCACCCACGCCCAGCTCAGACTTCTCCTGCCCAGCCTGCCCCAGGGGCTGGCTCTGAGCCGATCAAAAGCTGGAACAACCCACCTCCCTGGCTGCTCCCCAAAGCTGCCTCTAGGCCTTTTCTGCTCTTGTCCCCTCTGCTAGGAATGCTCTTCAGTACCAGTGAAAGCCCTGTGTTTCCTCTAGCCCAGAGCCTGTGGCCACCTCCATCACCCTCCACATCCTGTCCCTTTCTGCACAAGGGGCCAGCCTCCCTTCTTGAGGCAGCTTCATCCTCCCCTTCCACTCTGGAGCCCCGCAGGCCTCCCAGGCCTCTTTGAAGAGTTCTGCCCTTGCTCTCATCTCTGGGTCTCGCACATGCTTATCCCCTGTGCTGGAATGCCTTTCCTATTTCCTCCTAGATCCTAAAGGCCTCTGAGAAGACACGACCTCCCTGAAAGCCAGTCCTAATGTTTGGGTCAGAACCTTCTTTAGGCCCTAGGGGTCCTGCAAGTCCATCCAGAGACTGAGGCACCCAGGTCTCTCTGCATTCTCCTGGCTGGGCCCCAGAGAGACTCATGAGCCGCTGCTTCTTGGTGTACATTCAGAGTGAACAAAAGAGGGAGTCATGGGATCTGAGTTGCCCATACTCATCTCATCCCATGTTTGTATTACTCTGTGTGTGTGTGTTTGTATATTGAGGGAGGTGGGGGTCGGGTGGGCCTAAGCTTGGCTGGCTGCCAAGTGACCCATGACCATCAGCCAGCCTGAGCATATCCTGTTTAGATAGAGGCCAGACAGCCATCCCTCACCCACTCGGGCCTGCCCAGCCCTTGCTGGGGAGCCCAGGTCCTGGGCCTAGAGCTCAATCCTTATCTGCTCCAGAAAAGAATCTTTACTAAGAACTGAGATGGGAATTCTGCATCTCCCCTGCCCCCATGGTGCAGGCCTTTTTTTCTGGGTGCCTGGGCCCAGGGTCATTTATGGTTGGGCAGCCCCGACCACTGGGTAGGGGTGGGGGGCATGGAGTCTGGCTGAAAAGACCTTGGATGTGGAGCCACTCCTTGGTTTTGCTCAGCTCAGTTGAGACAGTCCCATCCTTCCAGCTGCTCAGGCCAAAAAGTCTTTGAATCAGCCTGGACTCTCACATCTCCATCTAGACCTTTCAACTTCACCTTTAAAATATACAAAATGTCAGGTGACCACTTCCTGCCTTCTCCCTGGCCACCAGCTCTGCAACCACCACCTCCGTGGCCAGTCTCGTCTCTTGCCTGACAGGGACAGGATCCTGCTGACTAGGCTCCCGGCTTCTGCTCTTGCCTGCTGCTAACCAGCCAGGATTTGGAGAAGCCCTGTTTAAATGGAAGCCAGGGCACGTCTCTCTCTTGACTAAAGTTCTCAATGGCTCCTACTTCCTTGAGAGTCAAAGCCAAG